ATATATCGATTGAAAATCATCGATACTAATGAATGTTCCCTTTAACAGGAAAGTACCGAATATGCCCATAATATTAATCGGGAATGTGAGCTATCATCATGACAAATTTCAGTTCAATCCGACCAGTATTTTTCACGTTTACTTGTCACAAACATACATACATCCATACAACCAATCTTTCTCATTTATAATAGTAGTAGGATTAAAATCAGGCGTGATTATTTGTTTGCATTACTGTATTCTGTTTTGTTTATTTCAGTTTAACTTAACCAATCAATAGTTTTAATAATACTTATGAAGTTAAATGGGGCATAGCCCGTGGGTAACAGCTAGTTAAAGTTAATTTAAATTCTATAATTGAAACACTCATAGATGTAGATTACTAATAAAACATGTATTTTTATTTTAAAACTCGTAACACAGATTATGTAAATCGACTTATTGCTGGAAGTTATAAACCACCTAAAGTGCTGTTGTTGGCTATGACTAATGAGTATTTTTGGATAGTGTTCTGCAGCAACAAAGAGATGTTGCTTGGATGGAAGCAGTTGAAGAACAGTTATTCGTCAACGTCACCTTCACTTTCCCTCCTTACTAACACACTTTCACCTCCCTTGTGAGTCTTGTGTGTGTGTGTGTGTACAACAAATACCCTTATGTCGCCTTAGGAGAAATTGGAATTGTCTTTAAAACTAATACAAAAAGTAAGTTTAGTCTTTTTACAATATTTGATAATGCAAGAATGTGAACAAGTGATGGGACGAAGCTCTGCAATACAGATATACAGTACAAAAATTATAAAAAGTTACAAATTGTTTTGTTAATTTTCAGTAATGCATTAAAACATACAATAATCTGATCACCATTATTAATATTTGTATGGGAGAAAAAGGTTAGAAAATGTTGTTTGAAATATTTTCTTATGGATCAACTTTGTGTCATAATAATAATATGTTGAATTTGTAAAAGTAGTGTAAATGTTTTCTCCATGTCAACATACCTCTAATTTTCTTACATACATGGTTTTGTTCTGTTTATCTGTATTTATCCTTGTTGAGTAACGAAATTTCTATTAACTAAGTGTATGAGACTTTCTTATACTTTCTAAAAAAAAACAACTAATTATTCAATCTTAGTTAATAATAAAAAGCAATAAAAACAAGACATGCTATAATTTACCTCTGTTTTACAAATAAAAAAAAAACTAAATGAAAATTGGGTGAAATAGTTGTCGCTTTATAAACTAAAAGTATCCGGTTTTATCCTGATAAAAGTCTAAGGACTTTTGGTTGGAAACGAAGTCTTTAGGTACCTGGGATTATTGGGATTTTTTTCATGGACTTTTAATTCTGATGTAGATTCTAGATGTTCTGATCTTGTTGAATGGAAATTTTAAAAGGTGTTATAGCAAATGTGATTTTCTTTCATGGTAAGTTTGTAGTTTTTACGACCCAACTAAATAATAAAATAATAAATATGATAATAAAATGTGTTTACAAAATAAATACAGACAAATTGTCTCATTTCCCATTCATACAAGATCTGTATTATTTTTATGTTAATTTAAAGTTTTAAACGTCATTGAACATTACACACGTAAAATAGACTTAATATATTTTATTGTGGGCGAAATATCTTTAAACACTGTTTAAAGTCATTTAATAGCTCACATTTAATGAATATAGGTATATTTTATGAATATTAGCTCACGTTTACACTAGTATATTTAGATAATAGGCCTAATTTATTTGACTTTTTGCTTGATGTTTTTCTTTTTTCAAATCGCATGAATAAATATCATAAATAAAATCCGTAAACGCTAACAATTCCTTAAGGGAAGTAATATTATCTCCCAGTGCATTGCAGTGCAAATGCTATAAAACAGGGGATGCAATGGATTATGCATCCCCTGTTACCTATCGTCAAACTCGAAGATAATCCTGGCAGCAGGGGCGGCCAACCTGTCCCACCCAGACCCCTCATTAGTGATGGGGAAGGTTGTCCATCCCTGCAAAACAGGCCAGAAATTCGCAGGTCAATTTTAACCCTGGGAAAGGTTGTCCGTTTCCCGCTTGGTTAATACCTAGAATGTAGATAGAAAAACAACAACTGTCTGCGGATCAACTCACCTACGATATTTTTATTCGAAAACTGAATATAGCTTTAGCATTTGAATGTGATTTATGATTTAATTCATGGTAAAAAAATCAACTCTTTAGACATATAAGACAATTAACTATATTCTTTCTTTACTGATATTCACCCTAAAATATCTATCTACAGTGCGGACACCACAAAAATTACATATTTAGTTACTCGACAAAATGTTTAGGTCGGACATAGGGAAATAAAATGTTGCAGAAATTTGTATTCAAAATTCGTAACTCAAGCATTCACAATTTTAAAGAAACTAATTCAAACATAGTTTTCGACTATAATGAACTTATCAATCCCGCAGCTCCTTAACTGTTTCTCATTTTGGTGTTTAAAACAGAAATAGCTTACCCACGCAAAACGCAATCTAAACTCTTAAATTGAGTTTAATTTCCGTCTGGAATATTTAAGTTCCCGGAATTCTCTCGAGTCACTCAAAGCAAGGTGTGTAAATGTTCGTCTAATAGCTTTGCGGCAACGTCGGCCCTCATCGACAGAAGTAAATTAGTTTTGGCCAACCTACAACCAGATGTCTCCAGTGCTGTTATATCAGGAGGGTAATTAACATTTCATTACAGTTTCAAGGTTTAGGGGTGAGCGATTGGGCAACACGTTTGGGTATAATATTTAAAACAATATACCATTTAGAAAGTGCTATACTTGTTTTAGACTGTTTACTCATTTGCAATGTAACTTTAATGTATTGTAGGTTTTGCTACATGTGAATGAAAATCAGCTATTCCTATGTTGGCACAGGTTAGGTTAGGTTAGCTTAGGTTGATTTAGGTTAGTTTAGGTTATGTTAGTTTAGATTAGGTTAGTTTAGGTTAGTTTGGGTTGGTTTAGGTTAGTTTAGGTTAGGTTAGATTAGATTGAATACGTTAGGTTAATTTATGTTGGTTTAGGTTAGGTTAGTTTAGGTTAGGTTATTTTAGGTTAGTTTAGGTTAGGCTACGTTAGGTTAGGTTAGTTTAGGTAACTTTAGGTTAGGTTAGGATAGGGGCTCTCTCTGAAATCTCAAGGTTGCTGGTGTAATGTGAAACGAGTTTGATTCAAATTCTAGGTGACTTTTCGTCTTACCTTGCTTACCCTTCTAAAAAATAGTAAGTACCTAATTTTGTACAATCGTCAATCTTAACTACTAGGGAAAAAACAATTTTTAGGAAAATTATGTTATAAAAGCTTCTAAAAAACTTAGTAGGTACCGAAGTAGAATTTAGGAGGAGCTAATCATGCCTTTCTTTTTTATTCATTGTTAAAAATAAAATTTAATATTGTGTTCTGTTTTATGACGATTGCTCACTCTGTTATGATAACAAAATAAAATGTTTCTTTATGCTTGATCAGTTGACCAATGCTTACAAAATCTTTCCAGCGATATTCTTAGATAGTCTAGTCTAGACAGTTAAGAAATAGTTATTTGTGCAACTAGTGAGAAAAGTGAGCAATTGACTCACTCGAGAGAAACCCTTACTCACGAGCCGTAGGCGAGTGAGGAATGGTTTCTCTAGTGAGGCAATTGTACTTTGAACTAGAGTTGCACATTATACTTTTCCTACAGTTACCATAAAACAAATAAATTTGTGAAGAAACATAACCTATTTTTACACAGAAGTGAACTTTTAATATAACATTTAATGTGAAGTGACAAATACAACAGTACAACAGCTGATCAGCTGATTTAAAGCCAGTGCTGCCAAAGTATTTCGCGCGCATACGCCGTTGCCTGCATGTTACGCGCTCACTATTTCGTGCCTTCACGTTGCAAATCTGGAGTGAGACAAAGTAATTAGAGTGAGACAATGTTAACATTGTCTCACTGATGAGCGAATTGGCCACTTTGCTTTCTCAAATCAGTGAGAGAACATGTACATTGTTAGGTAACTGTAGGAAAAGAGATATAATAAATCGGTTATTATGTTTACACACTACGACGAGATGCTTCCTTAACCGTAAACAGGTCCATGTACCGTAATATTATGTAAAAACATCCCTTCACTTTCTGGTTAATAAAACATGATTGAAACTATACTTGTTAGGAGCATGGAATACAGAGCAGGGGTTCTGATCACAGTACAAACTATTGGAAATCATTTAAATATTATTTTCGTAAAATTTACTAACATTAATAGCCCTATGTAACATTTAATGTCTTTAAAAAATGTGATGTCGAGTGATATCTTGAAATTAAAACGTCTTTCAATTTATAGTCATTGCCGAGTGAAACATGTGAAATCAATAATTCCAACCAGTCTTCAAATTATTTTGACGTATTTAGGTATATTTTGACATTGTAGACACCTACATAGGTCTGCAAATTTTTTAAAAGATGTTTTCTGAGTTCTATTATAAGTGAGTTAAAGTGATACGGTATAATTATTTTTAATATAAATGATTGAGTATTTTTAAAGGGGTTTATACAGCTACGCGGGTGAATAGTAAATAAATAGAAGAAAATATTTCCACCCCCGCCGAAGCAAACCTAAAATAGATTAAGCAAATTTTAATTTGTATGCTTTTACAGGAAGGGGACACCTTTTTGAAAAAAAATTTAAGTATGGGATTATATTAGATAAATATGCCAAATTTGGCCACAATATATCCATAAAAATATTACTAAAACCCATAACTATCTGACATTAAGCATTTTATTTTTATATTTTCTTAAACCTTTCATGATACAATAGCGTTAAAAGAGGTTGACTTTTAAGTCTTTCCTGGAAAGAATGTTCACAATTTTCTCGGTTCTACAAGATAGGCATGAAAAGTGGCTGAAACATAAGTGACAAGCGATTGAAAAGCGTAAAGTCTTCGTAACAGAAAATCTGAATTTCAAATCTAGGTCAAAACAACAGTCGTGTCAAAGTCAAGGAGAGTAGGCCTACTCTGGTGGTAGTTCACAACCATTAAAATGAAGTCAGTTTTCATAAGTGGCGGGTTATTACTGCTTTGTATGGTATGTTGATAATCACATTGAAACAATTTCATAGACAGTATTCCTACATTTAATATTTGAACAACAAAAACTGGTAAATTAATTCGCATTATGGTAGTAGGTAATTATTCTTTTATTTTACAAGCTACTAGCCGCTATACGGGGTCAAGATGAAGACAAAATGTTGGTTCCTTGAAAATAATGGCAATCAGCTTGAGAACAATGAATACAAAATCAATAGATCGTCAAAACTTAAAGCTTAACAAAAACTTCTAATAATATGGATTCTTTAAATATTCACTAAACATCAGAGCTATATATTATAACCGTACGGTAGGGATAACTACTGAAATATTAAATTAAAACCCTTGGTAGGCCTCGTAAAATGTTCAGTGGTTAATTAACTCTCTTTATACTTCTTATGATTGTTCATTGTAAAAGACAAATTTCAATAAATTGATATTAATTTCAGCTCCTCGAACTTCATTCGACCGAGGGCTATGCTGCACCGAATTTGGAAGTGTTGTCAAACGTTCTGCAAGCCAAACGTACGAATAGAAACAACAAAAACAACAGAAACAATAGCCAAAACCCTGCTGTAAACACCCAAAACACTGGTGCAACTCGAAACGGACAAACCATAACGATTACAATAGACGGTCAGAGAACTACAGCAACTAGCAGCCAAGGAACCCAGACAACCAATAGAAGAAATAACCAGAGTAGAAGGAAACAAATACGACTGAAGATAAAACGACAACGGAATCAGAACACTCGTACAAATAAAAGCGATAGGAGGGTGCAAACGGTTAGAACGGTCACTACTACAACTGCATGATTACTAAGCTAGATAACATTATATGAATAAAGTGATTCTGATTGTCAACTGATTCAGAGTAATATGTTATAATCTTGAATTACCTTGAACCTTAAAGTAGACGTATGTAAACTAGTTGTAGCCAGTTGCTTACAAAGTAGAAAATAAAGTTGAATTAACCTGTTACTGAGTGTGGTTCTATGGATATTTATTTAATAGTTTTGACTATACTATAGAAAAAAAGGCTTTATAGTTTTCAGTCGTTCTCTTTTAGTTTTGGCAAAGTCAAAGTTGACGACGAAATATTCTATTAGCATTTACTTTGAACAGTAGTACAACGATCTATGATATTAGCCTAGAAAACAGCTATAACTGCACCCAACAACTATGTAAACAGAATATTTACAAACAAAACAGCAAAACTCATGATTTATGTTGAGCGAGCTTGACAAAACAATGACAGTTGCATCCTCTGACGCTAATAAATAAAACACATCACTCACACATTTCAACCGTACATTTGAGGCTTTACAGCTTCCATAACAGTTTGACAGATATTGGTGGTTTGATGTGTGGACAGATTGGTATCACTGGTTATCGATGAAACCATCAATTAACCAGAACAAATGGAAAATTGATCCGAATTAGGGTGGAAGTGGAACTATAATTTTTAACTTAACAAAACGGAGCTGGTTTGAAAAAGGCCGAATTAAATTTGTATTCTTAATTTTCTTTTTCTCCTTTATTTATCTAGACCAATTTACTTTTGAAAACCTCACCTCAAAACTTTGGTCATCCAAGGGGCGTAGCCCGAGAGGAACTCAGGGAAGTGAATAGGCCTATGACATTCCTAGATGCTTGGACCATCTTTGTGCTTAAATTTGGTTGTATCGGTTTAGTATTTTAGTTGTGACAGCTGCCCAGACAGACAGACAGACACCACCTAAATTTTATTATATATAGATAAACTCGCTCAACATAAAAAATCGCAAATTTGGGAACGTTTAGTCAAACCAGGAAAGTCTTATTATGGTTCCATCATATTACACGCTGGGTAGGCGAGTGGTTATAGTACTTGCCTGGATCAAAATGTCACCAGTTCGAGCCAGAGAAAGGTAGCTTTTTGATTGTTCAAAAGAACGAATACTTGAACAGAACCGGTATGGATCATACACATAAATAAATGATGTTACTGGCCCGAATCCTATACTATATAATAGCATTTACATATGATTTTGACAATTCCATTTCAGAAGTGTTAAATGGTGTTTATCTTCGGGCCAGCAACGTCATTTGTTTATGTTTAAGATCCACACCGGTTCTGTTCAAGTATTCGTGGTTCGCAACTAGACCCAGCTGTTTCTGGTCATTGGGGTTTAAATAGATGATCCTGACTAATGAAACAGCTGATCTTAGTCAGTAGACCTAACAAAGCTACACGAATCATCTCACTCCATTATTCACTTATCCTTTACTCATATTTGAGTTAAAATAGGTAGCATCCTCATCTCAATGATTGATAATTGATAATAATTGTTTTTAATCAGACACTATCTTAGGAAGGAAAAATAACACAAACAATTTTAATGATATCACAATTTTATGATAACTTTATCAAGCCACACTCAAGATCAATAACGGTTATCAAGATTTAATACAATAACCTTTTGTGAGTTAATTTTACAAGTTTCATAACAAACTCCATTATTTGACATTGGGTGTAAATAAAACTAAATTTTTTATGATGTGAAGTAAAAAAAAAACGTTTGCCCCTTAGGAAGAAGAAGAGCTTCTTCGGCCCAGCAACGTGTGTATTGAAATCAAACTAACTACAGTTTGGCAAAACATATGACATTTCTCAGGATCTAGCCAACAGCCTTCAGAACACTAAATAGGATGATATGGTTACTACAGAGATTTAAAAAAAGTTTATACCCATTTAGCCTATATTATATGAAATTGCTTCCCAAAGAGGGAATGGCACTTCTCCAATGACTTAAAATAACCTCAAATGACTCGTCTCGTAAACTGTAATAAGTCTTATGTGACAAGTCTGATCGGATTAGCGCGAGTGAGCTGTGTCAGCGACCACCGAAGGGGAAGACTTGTTTAACTTCAATGGAAGGAGAAAATGAGATTTCATTCAAAGTGCGATTTAATCCTAATGAGCTTTCCATTCATGCTATAGCTTACAGACCAGCCGGTCCTGAGCCAGTTTGTGTTTTAAGTAAAACATGTCACCGTGTTTTTGCTAGCCAATGGAGAAATTCCAATTTTCGTTTTATTATTTAGGAAACACATGATTAAGTGAGAAAATCACATACAAAATACCCTTTATAAAAGTATATAAACGTTTTCAAATACATAACGTTCAAATACATCGATTAGTTACCACACAAAAGCTTATTTTGAAGGCCGGATGCTATTTTTACTGTAATTTAACCAATCACAATTTGTTTCATAATTTAACACTAATGTATACACCATTTATGCGTAATATAGCTGTAAGGGTGGACATTTGATGAAAATATAAATATGTTACAATTATATTGAACAAGATTTTAATTTTAATTTTAGTGATGTTAGTATGTACTAAATAATAACATAGGTTTTGTCAGCATTAACTGTTCATGATATTTCAATATTAAATTAGTTTGATATAAAATTTGGTTACTCATAAGTAGAGATGTCAACAATAACAGAAATTGGTATTTTTATTTAGAACAAAACAATATAACTCTAAGTAAGAATTTATAAAAATAAACTTCTTCTTTCTTAAAATAAGCATTTGCGTTTAAAAAAATATGAAAAGAAAAACACGGCGGCAAAACGAATATTTGGACATTTTTCACGTGATATTATAGTTTGTTTTAGTACAGGAATAACACCTTATTAGGCCAATAGGGATTTCGGGGACACCCTTTGGTAATTTATCTACTGAATATTTTACTTTGTGTACACTATTTACGAAAAAGGTCTCATCATTTGTCTATCTTTTATTTTGATTTTATATTTAGGTTAGCTACAATTTTGGAAATTAAGAGATAGATGGGAAACATCATTTTGTAAGTTGCTTGTTAATATTGGGTTAGTGGACCCTTAAAACAAATATTGGTGGAGATATCGCTGACTAACATTAATGTTCACCTATAGCATTTGTGGTGGAAAATATTACCTTGCATTTATCAGTTCGTTCCGGTACATACAGAAATGCTACATTTCAAGCAACTCATAACCAAGTGCAAGAATTACTTTTAGTCAAACTATATTTTACGATTATCCAAAAAAGTTTTTGTAAATGAGTATATTCACAACATTAAATGTAAATTTTAATTATAATGTTATTATTAGTACTACAACTTTATCTTTGTAACGTAACTGAATTCAATAAACTTTAAATCAATATATTTTAACTTTGTAATAAGTAAAAACACCAGACACAACATAAAAATATACAGCTTATTATCAAAAGATTGCAAAACATCAATAAACCAATAAGCCGATGATAAAATATTGTAAAAGGAAATAATTAGTTATGTACCACTACATGAAACTGATTGTGTTTTATCCTCAAATAAAAACAACTGTTTGAATTTTGAATTGTTAATAGTTATTGAGCCATTGAACATACCAAACAAAAACATTCCCTTAAAATGCAATAGGTAGGTTGTTTCGGCTGTTTTGGTACATTATCACCATGGATGGAAAGTACTCTAGTGACACGGTATCAACTAAAATGAACAAAAGGCCAACACAAATAATTTTTAATGGTAACTGTTAATTGTAACTGCACATTTCTCGAACTTATTCAGTATTTTTAAATAGGTCACTGTTTTCTCAATGGATAATGGACATCGGATACATGACAATTTTGTTGCCTTCTAATATGTACTCTGCAATTTGTATACACGGGTAATCTATTTTCAAATAGGTCTCACTGTTTTCTCAATGGATAATGAACATCGTATATATGACATTTTGTTGCCTTCTATTATGTACTCTGCAATTTGTATACACGGGTAATCTACCATTACGAAACAATTTTTAAATATAGAAGGTTTTAGTTTTACCTACAACTCCACATAACCGATCAATATACTCCTGCAGCTAGAAACAATTAAATAGTTAACAGCCAAGATCTTAGTTTTTGTCAGTTTTCTTAGTTTTAGCGTCAGATTTTCCAGACGCCAGTACTGGGCCACAAGTAGTAAGAATTTCCTCAGTTGGTGGTTTTCCTCCACCTGCTACACTATATGCAGCAGGTGGAGGACCTCCAGGACCAGGAGAAACGTGATCAGGAGGAGCCATGGGTGGACGAGAAAGCACCTCCAAGTACTGCATACTCCCACAAGTAGACGGAAACAGGAAGTCATCGTGGTAAGACTTGATCTTTATCTGTTTTCTCCTCTCTTTAGACTCCCCAGTCAGAATGAGCCACTCCAAGAACGCAGTCATCTCAGGATTCAACTCGATGCAGAGATGTTTTTTGGTTTGTTTCTTCAGAATGTCGTTGATGCAAGAAATGATCTCCTGGGCTTGCTCCACAGGGAACAAAGTGAGGTTTAACTGTGGAGTAGAGATGTTCTGCACTCTTCTACACAGACCTAGAGAGGCTTTCATGTTGTTTCGTTCCGCTTCCGCTTGTATATAGTCTACAAAGCTGTTGGACAGTTTGAAGTCCAGCTCTTCCTCTTTTGGTTCTTGATCTACTGCGACTTTTTGAGTAGTGTTCTCTTTATTTGATTGGTCGGTTACGTTCGGTGTAGTTTTAGTAGAGTTGTTTAATATTGTTGTGTTGACAGTTTTAGAGTCAGTAGTAGAGGTAGACGTCAGTGGAAGTGGTGTTGTCTTGTTTTCTCTTTTGTTTCTTGCAATTTCATAATTGTCTATAAAAGAGAAAAATTTATGAAAGATCGTTGATAATATGTTGTACGTTGCTTATTTAGCCAGAAGCAACGGTTACAATAATCTTTATTTAAGAATTTACGTTAATGAATAGATATAGTGATTATCGTAGCATCTGTGAAGCAGATGTTCTAACGGCTTCTAGTGATTAACATTTGTTGGGATTTCAATGCCAACAAATATAATACCCCCGCCGCAGCAAACCTGCAGACTAAGCGAATTTCCATTTGACTGATTGGATTTACACTGAAATGTCTACTGAAAAATATAACATTTATTCTTGATTTAAATAGAATTAGTTTACCAAGTACTTAGGTTTGCTGCATCAGGGAGGGTAAAACTGTTTGTTTTTTTTTTTTTTGTAAAATGTGAATAGTTAGTAAGAAATAAAAACATTTTCCACATTTGATCAAAATATGTTCACAAACAAGCAAACTACAACAGTTTACTTATTCTCCATAAGAATAACATGGGAATTTTAAATTTACTATTTTTTGGAATTTTCTCCGTAACCATTAGGCGCATAAAAACGCTTCAATATACTAAATTATTTGTTTTTTTAAGCTCTACAAAATGGTTTGAAAAGAAATTGCTAAATTTTATGTTTTTGGGTCAAAAATGGGAAAAACCCATTTTTACCCCATAAACCCCCCCGTAAACCCCCGTTCCCATGGTCCGATTATGCTGGATCGCGAACTCGTTCGAATAAACGTACGTTTACACGTTTGTACCAAATTTAATCAAAATCGGATCATTTTTGCTCGAGTTATCGTGCTGACGGACACATATATATAAATATATATATATATATATATATATATATATATATGAATTTGAACGGATGGTGTTTTTGGTCTCTAGGGACCTCAAAACGAAAAATCGGTCCCGCGTCCAGGTCTTACCATGAGTACTACGGTAATAGCTTATTCCCTATATGGGAAATTCGCTAAAATGACAAGAATATACTGCGGGGCTTTTAATTTATTATGTGACGGTATTTACGGTAGATGCCTATAAACAATATCATTTGATTAAAATCATGCCAATATACAACTAGGTGTACAATGCAGTTGTCTGCTTGCAATATTGAGCGGAGCCAGCATATTAATTCAATGTCAATGATATATTCGGTTCGCATAAATGTAATGCCTATTTACAGATTCTAAAGTCAATGGTACGTCCGGTTCACGTAGACGGATTGTTTACTTGTAGTATCCAAACTCAATGGTGCATGTAAATGAATAATCTACTTGCAGTATCCTAAATCAATTGTCCATTTATTTCGTTCATTTAGATAAAATGCCGAATTGCAGTATCCGAAGTCAATGGTTGGCTTAGGCCTACTTCTGCTTCACTTATATGGGATGTCTATGTGCAGTATTCAAAGTACGTCAAATGATACGTCGGGTTCATGTCAAAGAATTCTCTAATTGCAGTATCGAAACTATGAGCAAAGATTACATATGCATGAGTGTTATATTTGGTTCACCTTAATGGAATTCCTATTTGTAGACTGCAAATAGGAATTGCAGTGCATATTCAAAGACTACATTAATGGCACGTCTTGCTCACATAAAATACTGAAAAAGTTATTTACAGAATCCAAACGCAATATGGTGCATTCGCCTAATTCTGGCAACCCTTATGGTTATTCATTTTGTAGTAAATTATGCTCAATGCTATTAATCAAAAGCAGGAGTGTATGATAAGAGAAGTTAAAGTCAATGATATAAGAGCTTTGCTACGCTCTGCTCAATAATTTCTATATCCTGCAAATGAATCATTTTCATGGTAAACCTATGCGATACCTGCATTATTAAAAGGCAATAACGATTATTATTTGAGATCGCAAGTTCGAATCTCCTCAGCGGCCTTAAAATTTTGCTTCTTATTTTGTTATAATATGATTTTCTCTTAACTTCACTGATCAGTTTTTTTTAGACATTTATAACTTAATTTTGTGATAAGAATGCATTTTAGCGAATTTCCCATATAGGGAATAAGCTATTACCGTAGTACTCATGGTAAGACCTGGACGCGGGACCGATTTTTTTTTTCGTTTTGAGGTCCCTAGAGGCCTAAAACACCATCCGTTCAAATTCATATATATAGATATATATATATATATCCTACTAATCCTACTAATATTATAAATGAGAAAGTTTGGATGTATGGATGTATGGATGTATGGATGTATGTTTGTGACAAGTGAACGCGAAAGATACTGGTCGGATTGGGCTGAAATTTGGCATGATGATAGCTCACATTCCCGATTAACATATAGGCATATTCTTATTTCAAAAATCCTTTTGGGCTCCGCCCCAGTGGCTCTGGAATTTCCCATGTTAACCTTATGAGAAATGGAATTAATGAATCTTAACAGCTGTTTCAATTAAACAAGTTGGTTCTGTTCTATGATGTTCAATACTATAAACAAAATACTTGTATTACTTGTATTAAAGTTACAAGGATTACCAACAGGGTGCAGCACTATTATTTCTTTTACATTTATGACAACAGCTAATTTGCAACCAAAAGGTGAGTGAGCGTAGCGAACGAACTTCAACCTGGAGGCGAGTTAGCGTAGCGAACGAGCTAACCTAAAGGCAAGTGAGCGCAGCGAACGAGCTCCAACCTAAAGGTGAGTGAGCGTAGCGAACGAGCTCCAACCTAAAGGTGAGTGAGCGCAGCGAACAAACTTCAACCAGGACGTGATTGAGCCATGCGAACGAGATAATCTTGAAAATTAAGAAGTTAAACGGGGCAAAGCCCGCGGGTTACAGCTAGTATATATATATATATGTGTCCGTCAGCACGATAACTCGAGCAAAAATGATCCGATTTTGATGAAATTTGGTACAAACGTGTAAACCTACGTTTATTCAAACGAGTTCGCGATCCAGCATGATCGGACCATGGGAACGGGTGTTTACGGGGGGTTTTATGGGGTAAAAATAGGTTTTTCCCATTTTTGACCCAAAAAACATAAAATTTAGCAATTTATTTCCAAACCATTTTTTAGAGCTTAAAAAAACAAATAATTTAGTATATTGAAGCGTTATTATGCGCCTAATGGTTACGGAGAAAATTCCAAAAAATTGTAAATTTAAAATTCCCATGTTATTCTTATTGAGAATGAGTAAACTGTTGTAGTTTGCTTGTTTATGAACATATTTTGATCAAATTTGGAAAATGTTTTTATTTCTTACTAACTATTAACATTTTACAAAAAAAAACAGTTTTACCCTCCCTGATGCAGCAAACCTAAGTACTTGTTAAACTAATTCTATTTAAATCGGGAATAAATGCTATATTTTTAAGTAGACAGTTCAGTGTAAATCCAATCAGTCAAATGGAAATTCGCTTAGTCTGCAGGTTTGCTGCGGCGGGGGTATATATATATATATTTATATATATATATATATATATATATATATATATATATATATATATATATATATACACGGCCGCGCCCGGGAAGCCAGTCACATAAAATATACACTGGAAGTCAGTCAGTTGCACCCCCCAATATATTTCAAGACTATGATATATATATAATATATGTTGGTAAATATCTTAAGCTTAGACATATCTGAACGTATATATCTCTTTTTTTCTTAAAAATACTAAAATATAATTACGTAAAAAATGCTATGCTAATGCAGTCACCACCGCATTTGCATGGGAAAGCCAGTCACGTAAAATTTGTGCTGCTAAGCCAGTCACTATATATTTTACCGCATACCACTGGAATCCAGTCACTGAAAATCCACCCGGGTATCCCGTCACTTCAGTCACTTTCACTCCTGCCCTTCTACTTTGTGATATTTATTTGTTCTACAAGCTTGGAAATCCGCACCTCAAACAAATGGATTATGCTTCAGGCATTGAGCACTCTCATAACCCATCTTTCGCACTTCATTTTTATTAGTTGTCTTCCAGATTACTTAACAATTACTATTCTACAGATTAAATACCTAAATGTCAATGTAATCTTTGGTCGTCTTAATAGTCGTCATGGCAACTGTGGATACAAATATGTACCGTACTAATTCGCAAGCGTAAGGTGGGAAGTTATTGCTTAATAGTCGCACAATTAGGCCTATTGTTGAGTCCTTGGAGGCAAGCGGCCATCTTGGATGATTTCAAAAAGCTGCAAAATTTATCGTCCAAAAATATTTTTTAAACACCAAAGTGTTTATAATTTAAATAGCTAGTATACTGTGGGATTAGAAATGTTCTTTGTAGTTTTGAATTATTCTCCAAGGGAGTCCATAAAATAAGTTAACGGTCACGGTCATCTTGGAAAAAGGCCAACTAATACGAAAAAAATATCCTGTGTTGCGCGGGCCGTAGCACACAAATAGTTTTCCCGCCTCAAACAATCAAAGGCGTGTGGAACAAGGCAAAATTCTTGTCTCTTTTGTGGCGAGAGGTAGGGGCGAGCCTTAACGGGTTCCATTGATGGGCTACCCGGCTACCGACCGACCTGGGGTAGCGACTAGCGAGCCAGTGGATGGTTAAAGGTTTTGCCGGTTATTTCCATCAGTAGAGGCAATATGCCGGTTTAACGTCACTTGGGGCGTTTTTTGGCCCAGAACTTTTAAAATTTTCGGCGAAAAAAATGTCCGAAGCCCCAGGAGCTTTTTTTGGCCACTTTTCTTAAGGACCCAGCTCTCGACCTATACACCCATATATAATTTTTTTACTTTTTTAATACCGAAAAACACGTCTGGAAATGGTGAGCTTTTTTTGACCACTTTTTTAAAAATCCAGCTCTTGGCCTATACAAGCCTATATATATATGTTCAATACCATTGTATAACTCTATTACTATTTCAAATCCACATCCATCCACATGTATATTCTCAAAATCATCAACTTGACAGTGATTTGCACGGGGACTCGGGCGTGCTCCCGGCTCATGGTGTGGGTATGCTCCAGGCTTCTTGCTCTCGACCCATGCTCCCACATCTCGTCT